CAAGTGCTCCCAAGTAAGCCTTATCCGTATTTTACAGAAAATCGGACAGAGTTTCCCCTATTTTTGGACTATGCCAAAAATTTCCCTATCTCAAATCAACCACCAAACATCCTAATAGCAATTCAAACGACAATGACTTTATCAATTAACCAAAATAAAGATCTACCATTAGTGGTCCACCCACTAACAACTAGAAATACTACTTTATCTCCAACTTTGATAAGAATGAGCGATACTCAACATAAGCCTATAATAACAAAGAATGCCCAAGACACTAAAATAATAACCATGGAGCGACTCTAAGAGTTCAAATAAAATACCATAACAATAATTAAAATTTCCGCCCACGCGAACAAGTGCGAGGCTCACCAAGAACTATCAACCTGTGCGCTCTAATTAACGAAATCCTCGCCCGCGTCAACTGCTGTTCTGTAAAAAAAGATTTAGCGGGAAATGAGTCGCTAGCTCAGTGAGTAATAATACTTAACCACAACCGGGTTTTTTTTTATTGGGGACAAGTCAGAAAACATGCTAGTATCTCAAACAGAAAATAACATAAAAATGCCCTTTCAGAAATAATAAATAATTTTCAGTCTCATCATGCTTTTCTTGTAGTATAATACAATTAACAACTCATTAATAAGCTCGATACCACTGTATAATATCAATATTCACATTTTGGGAGGTTTCAATGAACGGATCATATAATCGGTATAACTGTGGACTTCTTCGCAAGAAGTCAAATATAACGGTAGTCCCTACTCGAGGGAAATCGGTAACGGTATGCTAGTTCTACCTTCCCACTAGCGAGGGCTATAACTGTACTCTATAATCGGTAAATACAAGGTGCACCAGGTCTAACGAAGCCACCATTAGCTACGGGATCCTTCAAAGTCTACTCACATTTATACTTGTCTCTATATCCGTATATACTCGTAGGAAAATATTTTAAAACAATATAGGGCATTTCGGTTCTTATCAAATCATGTAATTTCATTTCGATAACAGTAAATTCAAGTAACGGTAAAACATATCTAGTTACAACAAGAATATTTAAACAACGGTAATCATGTCAAATAACTATTTCGGTATCATATCGAGTAAAAGACTTGTCCCACATGCAACTCATATTAATCGGTAACATATTCATATTAAAAATCATGTGTAAATCATGCAGGTTACGAAAACACAAATTGCGGTAAGATTGCTATTCACAGTACTCGTGCCGAAATTCCAAATGCTTCACCTCGAGCAATTCGTACAACTTCCTCCAATTCAATCTATAATTACATAATATCGGTCTCATGTTATTAATTTCTATGTTTAGGCTAATTCATAGCTAATTTAGAATACCCAACCCTCGAGGTTCCATATTTGACTCTTAATTGGCCGAATTATATTTACCCACATATGAGTATTACTAATCTATCAACTCCAACCTATTCATATAATTTACCCAGTTAATTCATGGAAAAGTCTTATGAATTTCTTCCAATTTCCTTAACTATATCTTTCAAATTTTTAATCCAACTTCAAAATTATATCTATTCAGCCCTACAAGGATCATGTATATAAAATTCCATAGTTAAAAGAGGAAGAAATACATATAACTACCTGGAGTGTATTGCTGAAACCTAAGGAATTGTATGCCAAAGATTAGATGAAACACGATCTTCAGCGCTAGAGAAACAACTGAAGCTTCTTTCTTTTGTTTTTCTGTTCGATGGTAGGTCTAAAGGTTTTTCTTTTCTTTAAAACCCTATTTAACTTCTGTCCGTCCCTTTCTTTCCCTTTTCTTTTAGTGGCTTTGCCCTTCTTTTAGTTAGAGTAGGTTTCTTCCCTTTTTTTTTTGTTTTATTAAT